TCTACAGACTTGATGGTTCTAGTCCTTTTCTAAGTGCTTGAAACCAGCCTGCTGCGTTAAGGAAGCAATTTCAAGCTGGTGGTCCAATCTATAAACAGTTCACTTTTTTCTCTCAAGAAGGCAAGCATATTCTGTTTTGAAAAAAATTAGCTAAAAGCCAAGTACTATGAAGTAAGTTTCTGTTGTTTTTGTGATCAGACCTGATTAGGATAGGGTCCTTTTGCTCCCAGAATTTTCTGGAAGGAGATTTTAGATCCTTACGAATTGGGCTGCTGATGTCATTTCCCAAATTCTATAGGTGACTGCTGAGTTAAATGCACTTCAAACAAACTAAAATAATTGGCCTGGGTTTTGGTCAATCTAACATCTCTCTATGAAGGAGGAGTTCTGAGCCAGGTGGTTAGAGTAAATGCAACTTTGAAATAAGGATGTCTTAGGCATCTCGTTTCTGGTGGCCCCATTGTAAGTTTAATAAGACAAAACACAATGTGTGTGCCACAAAATCCCTTGGTTGAGCTCTTGCTCTCTCTCTCTCTCTCTCTCTCTCTCTCTCTCCCTCTCCCTCTCCCTCCTCTCTGTCTCTGTCTGTCTCTGGTTCTGTCTCTGTCTCTCTGTGTCTCTTTGTCTCTGTCTCTATGTCTCTGTCTGTCTCTGTCTCTCTCTTCCTCTCTCTCTCTCTGTCTCTCTCTGTCTCTCTCTGCCTCTTCTCTCACTAAAAAGTGATTAATGGTGTAGATTTGGTTTAGATGAATTATATGCAAACTCATTTTATGTAAAATGAATTTTCCATGACATTATATTTCCATCTCTGCTTTATCAGTGCCTTTTTTGTTTGAGTTAACACAATAATATTATCAAAGTCATCCTCCATTACATTACCATTTGCCTTCACATTTAAGGCGACACTGTCATTTTCAGATGAAGCTATTTGTCCTTGTTAAAACAGAAAAGGCATTTGGTACATTCAGACTCAATTATAAAGCTACATGATTGATTCCAAGATAGAACCAGGGACCCAGGCCAATGAAAGCTGCCCTTATCCGCATAGTGAGTTCTTTTGCTAAATCTGATGGGAAAATGACTCATGTCAGTGGACTTGAGAGTGGAGGGCAGTTAATTCAGATGAATTCCCCAGGAAGCAGAGTCTGAGGCACAGCATATCAGATGTCTGCTAATAAATATTCCAGGATTGGCACCTGAGGAAGAGCAAGGAAAGACACTTCAGTGGGATGTAGGCCCAGTGCCAGACCCTGCTGATCCCATGCATAGCCCTCAGGCAAGAAAGGTCCTTCAGTATTATATTGAGGAAGCCAAGATAGCCAAGCATTTATGCCCTTTTTTGAACTGTTATTGGTGTGAGCTGCCCCAGGAGGGTCATGGCTCTAAGTGAGGTAGTTCCTTGTAGCGGAGGCCTTCCAGTAAAGGCTGTCCATTGAAGGCTGTCTGCTGAATGTATTCTAGAACAGTTATCCTCAAACACGAGTGATTTTCCCTTAGGGAATTTTTAATGGTAGCAGTGCTTTTTTATTGTCATAAATAGAGAAATATTACAGGCATCTAATGGGAAGTGTCCAAGACACTCCAAAAATGCACAGGACAGGCTTTAAAAACAAAGAATGTCTGGTGTAAAATATCAGTCATGCCAAGATAGGGAAGCTCTATTATAGGTCAGTAAGTACTTTGAAGCAACATAGCAGACATGTCTATGTCCACTCAAGGTGCTATCATTAGTCAAAGTTTGGCTAGAGAGAGACAGTGCTGTCTTCCTTGTTCTGCTTAATGTTCCAATAAATCTTCGAAGGCAGGTCTCATGGTTTCCTTTTGCTGATGAGGAAACTGACCCGTAGAGCAGTTCGCTAAACTTCCCTGTCAGTACTGGATTTGTATCTCCCAATGTGGGATATAATGTTGTGGTATTTTCTTTCGTCCCCTAGAAGGAGTTCAGAACATACTGCCCACAAATATATACTTCTAGAACAGCGACTATTCTGAGTTGGAGACACTTGCAAAGAGAGAGTACAAGGACAATCTGAGTTTCTTTCCTAGAAGCCTGAGATTCAAATGTGAGAGTCCTTCCTAGTGTCTAGGACAGGACGTTTAGGCCAAGGGACAAACAACGCATGTGACAAGACGCTGTTCTTTCTAGTCATGTCCCAGTTACTTATGCTTAGACAAGTGACTTGCCTTGTCATCTCTACAACTCGCTGTTCTTTGTCTGAATTAACAAGTGTTCAACTGAAAATACATTTTTTTTATTTCCTTCAATGCCACATAAAACTTAAGTAAATTTGTTGGATTTTCCCTGTTTGATATTTTTTGTCTGTTGCATGAGGACGCTTCATTGATGAGAGTTGAGAGATGTATTAGTATTTTCTCTACACCTTGTTCTACTATGTTCCACGAGCTTTAAGTGTAGAGTTTCCATTGTAGATATATCATTTAGGGTTGGGCTTTTTAATCTCTGTGTGTGACTAGTTGTGGAACTCTGTAATAGTCTCTCTGTTGCAAAAGAAGCTTCTCTGATGAGTGGTGCTTGGCAAACTTGTTTGTAAATATAAGGATCCTTATTTATCATATAGTAAGGAATTACATTTTCTAGGGATGTGATAGCTTTGGGGTTTTCTCTAAGATCTATGACCTCTCCAGTCATGTATATTTGGCTATGTTTACAGTACCACACATGAGTTTCCCCCCACTGAGTGGGCTTTAAGTCCAGTTACATAGCTGTTGGTTGCCCCCAAGATAAAAGGGCCACTACTCCACCAATATAGTTTGCCATACCAGTCATAGTTATGGTTATTAGACCTTCAAGCTGGGGTTGGACCATAGATTGATGTTTGCCCTTAGCAGCTTGCATAGTTTCTCCAAAATTATGAGAGCTACCTCTCTGAGGAGGTGGCTTCCAGGTCAGTTCCATCTCCACTGCTCCAAATTCTGTGTCCAAAGTATGTCAGGTCTTCAGCAATAGGGTCTTACCTTCAAGTTCTTGGAGGCAATAAAGGGTTATGGCAATAGCTTGTGTGATTTTGGGAGTTCTTGGACTGCCATGGCCAATAACTCAAAGGGAGGTTTCTCCTGTCTGGCACTGTTTCTTGATAGGTGCTATCTTTTAATCTTTTTTGAGCTAATTATTGGACTTCTAGGATTTATTCTTTCTCTCTCTTTCATTTTTGTAAAATGCTGAGGATGAAACCCAGGGCATTGTATATATTTGTCAAACATCTCTGACTGAGCTACACTCCAAGAATTCCCCTAGGGTACTTGAGGTGCTAATAAGATCTGAAGCATGTCTCCAAATGAGTCAATTCACTCAATGACAAAGAACAATATTATGAAGTAGATTTTGAAAATACCATATTTTCACTACAGGCTTTCCCCGATGGCTTCCAGCTTTTACTCTCAGATCTTACTAGTGACCATTGTGAATATAGTAAGGACTCAGAATTCAGCAATTCAGACACAAACTAGAGAGCCACTTGTACAATTTGAGGCATGTCACTTCTATTGCACTTTGCATTTTAAGTGGGATTTTTTAGCTCAAGCCCCAGGAATTCCACTGGAGCAAACTGAACTGTGTTTGGAGAAAACTGATCTTGTGTTTAGAGAAAAAGAAAGTTTGAGAACTATTGCACCAAGCCATGGAAGGCCAGGGGATTTGACCTCTACTCTCTTGTGTCTAAAATACGATGAGAAATAAAATGCACTATACAGTAACTTAAAGCATTAAAAGAAAAATGACTGAGATGACTAGTTTTATTATTAATCTTAATAATAATGTTAATTATCAGGATCTATCACAGCTGTGCTTTTCAGATCCTAAGAAAGATTAAAAAAAAACTCTGTCATTAATCAAAATAACATCTCTAAGTTTGAATTTTTAAAATATTTTATTATTTTATGTGTATGTGTGTATTGCCTGCACGTGTATAAGTGCACCCATGTTGTGCAATGCCCATGGAGGTCAGAAGAAGGCATCAGATCCCCTGGAACTAGAGTTATGGACAATCGTTAGCCACCATATGAGCGAGTGCTGAAAATCAAACCCAGGTTCTCTGTAAGAGCAGCCAGTGTTCTTAACCACCGAGCCATCTCTCTAGCCCCTGTTGTGAAATTTTTACAATTTAAAAACTACAAAGAGTAGGAAGACTTGATTGGATTTACCCAGAAGTCTATTGGAAGGAGACATTTCTATACCTAGATCATATTACATACCTAGAAAACCTCATTTAAAGTAAAATATATATTTGTATTTGTACATTCATTTTTAAAAGTGAGAATCTTTAAATATTAACAAAATGTGGCGTGAGTTGTAATGTGTTAGTGTTTAAAGACTGGATCTTCCAAGCAAAAATATATATACTATATAAATTTATAATAAATTTTCTGTTATATAATTTGCATATAAGAATAAAATATGTAACATTCTCTATAAATTCTAGTTAACTAGTTGATTTTTACTGAATGCTTTAGGTGAATTTTACCAAAACTCTGTATGTGACCAGGATATAGTTTCAGTTGTGCTGTGAAAATGGAAGATGGCTATTGACTAATATTCCAGATTTCACATCACTAAAGCATTATTATGCAGCACAGAGTCAGGAAGAATGCTCATCACCATCTATCACAGAATCCCTCGCCCAAATGCATGTGAGAGACATAAATGATCTCAAGACACAGGAATAATAAAATGTGGTCAAGTAATTACAAAGGAAAAGTTCTGATTATTTGGTTATCTTTGTTCTGATATAATCTGTTTCATTATAGTTTAATGTAATTTCTTAATTATAATGGCTTAACGATTGGCTCACAAGATGCCTGGAAATTTAAGAGTCGATTCTTATGAGTTGTTGTAAGTATTCCAACTCATAGCTCTGAGCATAATATCATGAGTGAGTGGAAGCCATCCCATTATCCAACAAGATAGATGTTGGGATAGATGGTGCTGGACAGAGATGTTCTTTTAAAATTTACTGTTATTTTTGTCTTTCTTTTTTCCACAGGCATTTCCCTGCATTTCAACAGGCATTTATGGTAAGTGATTTAGCTTTTGATGATGTTTTTATTTTTTGTTGTTGTTCAATGGGTGGGGGTTGAAGGCTGGTTAACTGGAAAAATATGAGATCCTATCATGAATATATTTTGTTGTGACTCAAAGAGACTCAAAATGCAAGTCAAATCCCATTAAAAAATCCCAGAGGGTCATTCTGACGGTGTTGTGTTCTTGAATTTGGTTGCATTGTATGTTATATAAAATGATTTGACACATGGTGTCTCAAAGGCTTTTGTTAAGCAAACATTTTGTTCTAGTAAGATTAAACTATAATATTGTTTACTTTAATAAAGTCAGATTTTTCTCTCAGAAAATGCATAATGTGTGTCAACCCTAGCGCTATCGCTATTTTGTTGCAAATTACAAAGAAACATTAAAATGCACAAATGTGTATATCTGTTTCTTAACATTTTTAATATTCTAAGAAGTGAATGTTAATAAAAACAAGAATATTAATAACTGCCAAATATTTCTTCCCTAGTATTGATATGTTGTTTTAAGTAGCGAGTTTTTCACTTATAGATGGAAACAAAATCTTTTTAAATGATTTGTTTTCACTAGCCCAGAGCCCTGTAAAGGCCCCTCTACCTGCAACTCTTCTTTGCCCCTACCTTGTCGGGTTCCTGATGCCTTTTGTTTTCTAACGCTTTATGATAATGTAACTAGAAGGGAAAACAGAAAAGCAAAGAAAGATGAAAGGGGACTATAAAATAGGCTTCGGGGCTGGAGAGATGGCTCAGTGGTTAAGAACACAGGTTGTTCTTGCAGAAGACCCGGGTTCGAATCCCAGCACCCACATGGCAGCTAACAACTGTCCGTAATTCCAGTTCCAGGGGATCTGACGGCCTTGTCTGTCCTCTCAGGCACTGCACAACATGGGTGCACTGACCTACATGCAGGCAATACACTTATACACATAAAATAAAAATAATAAAATATTTTTTAAAATAGGATTCAAAATGAACAGTGAAAACCAAGTCAAAACTGAAGCAAATGATGGTCACTGTTCACCTTTGAGGGACAGAAATTCCTTCCTAGAGAGAGTAATATGGTTCAACATCTAGCAACTGGTTCAGTCTTCCCTTGTGAATGGAAGGAAAATAGTTATAACACTGGATAGGACAACAGGAGAATTTCACACGAGTTGGTTGGAAGGGCTGGGTACTACTTTTCTCATTGCTATGATGAAATACCTGACAAAAGGCAATATAAGGAAGGAAGCAGTTAGTTTGACTTCTGGTCTGAGGGTACAGTTTACCAATGTGAGAAAGATATGGTGGTGAGAAGACGAGACAGCTGGTCACACTAGATCCATAGTCAGGAAGCATAAAGAAATACATGCTGGTGCTTAATGGACATTCTCCTTTCTTCAGTCTGGGACCCCAGCCCATGAGGCAGTGCTGTGTACATTGAGGATGGGAGTTTCCTTTTCAGTTAAACCTTTATGGAAATACACTTATAGAGACACCCAGAGATGCATCTCCTAGTGATTCCAAACCCAGTCATGATGACAATCAAGATTTACTCTGAAGGCACTAGCAGGCAAATGTAGCAATTTTCTCAATGCTAAGCCAAAGAACACGCTTCTCAGCTCATGACCCGATCGCTCGTCTCCATCCTTTCTGTTTTGGGAAAAGTTTAAAGATGGTGCCTGAGATCCATGTTTAGTTTTAGCTCCATGACATCCTATTTTGCTAACTTTGAGGAAACCCCAGGTCTCTGTAGTTTATGGCCGTATTAGGCAATTTGAAAGTGACTTCCTGTGTCCCTTGTGAACTCACAGCTTTCTGATTAGTCCTTGGTGGTTTGTGTAGGACACATATTGTCAAATGGTTGCTTTCTTGCTTTTATTCAGAACCCCACAGGATTTGCTCCTTCTTTAACTGGATCAGTTTTTCTTTTATCTTTATTTCTTGAGTGTTGATATAGTATTGTGCACATGTAAAGGAAGTAGCCTTTGGCTACAACAGAAAAAAATTAAGAAGCTAGCACATGCACCCCAGGGGGTCAATGACCACAAGGAAACAGTCTTCCAGACAACTGGTCAGTTACTCATAGGAACTCACAGCAATGGTGACAACATGCACACGTCCCGTGCAAGCTCAAATCAGACAACATTCCAGCAGAGACATGGGGAAGTGGGTAAGAAACCCCAACTCAACCTAAGGAACTTTTGGTTATTGATGGCTTCTGGGAGGGGCAAAGACAGTGTCTTACAGGACTGGGACTCTTAATGGGCCCAGGGGATGGATCCATCCTGAAGGACATTTCGGGACACAAATCAGACACTATAGGAGATATATATATATATATATATATAAAATTGGGTAGGGGACAATGGAGAGAGGTTCACAGATAAGGAAGCACATCTAAATACCATCAAACTATATATATATATATAAAATGAAAATCACAAAAAATCATTTAAAAAGAAAATTCCCAATATTATGGCTTATAGTACAAGTAATTTTGAGCAAATTTCCAGAATAATATTTGGTTCCACTCCTTTTTCCTGCTTTGCAAAACATGATAGATTAATTTTTTTCTGAAATGCCAGTTGCGGTCTGTTTCCCATCTGCTCAGGAGCCTTTGATCACATTCTGAGATTTGCAGGGTCATGTTCACGCTTCCTAGCTTGAACAATGGGCACTTTCTATACTCACCTAAATGATGTCCTTTCAAAAAAGAGGGGGGAAAAAACACAACACACACACACACACACACACACACACACACGCTTATGTGTGAGAAATCCAACAAACCCTCACTTAGAGGGTTTACTCATATTTATATATGTCTTTGCAAGTTTAAATAAATAATTAATTTATAGCAGCTTTTGTTTGGTTTGTTTTGGTTTTGAGTTTTTGAAAAAAAAGCCTTACTGCATAGCCCAGGCTAACCTTGAACTTATGATCCTCCTGCCTCAGCCTCATGAGTACTTGAATTACAAGTATGTAGCATCACCAAGCCTGCAGCAGTTAATTCGTGTTTTGTTTTGTTTACATGGAAGTTATTCAGGTAACACTGCTCTGAACTCTGGGCTAGTATATTTTTCAGAACATTCTTCTATCATGGTACATCCTCTGTGACCCACATATGTTTTAACAAATTTGAGAACATACATATAACAAGGGCCAGTCTGTTCTAGTTTGCCTTCAATTGCTGTAACAAAGTACTCTAACCAATACCAACCCAGGGAGGAAATGGTTTACTTGGCTCATATTTCCTGGGTCACAGTTCATCAGGGAGCCCAAGGTAGGAACTCAGGGCAGGAACCTGGAGGCAGGAGCTGAAGCATAGGCCATGGAGGTTCATTGCTTACTGGCTAGCTCCCTGACCCTGCTTATACAATACAGGACCACCTGCTCAGGGGCGGCACTACCCACAATCATCTTGGCCCTCCCACATCACTCAACAATCAAGAAACTGCCCCACAGACATGGCCACAGGCCAGTCCAGTAGAGGAAAATCCCTGACTGAAGCTGCCTTTACCCAGGTATGTCAAATTGACAACTAAAGCTATCCAACACACAGTCCTAGGTCCATCCTTGTAATAATTCCTTTACAACACACACACACCAAAGCCATATGCACTATCCCCACCTCTGCTTTCTACCTCACACCTCTAACAGAACCACACGGTGCACGTGACAGGTTGCACTTTGATCTCTAGGAAGTTCCTATTGAGAATGCCAGCCCTTCTGACTCCTTACACTTCTTGAAACCTTTCTGCATTTGAACATGAGTTATTAAATGCTCCCTCTTGGTAAAATTTTGCTGATATATATTCACAGCCAGCTTCTTGTTGTTGTCGTTGTTGTTTGTTATTATTATTATTATTATTTATTATTATTATTATTATTATTATTATTAGTGCTTGGTCTCAAACCCAGGGAGCCTAGCTCTTGCCTATCAAGTGAGCTGTTCTCTCAGCATTTGGGCTTCAAGAGCAGCTATGTCGTCGTGCATATACTTTGCATTTGCCAGGCCTAGCACTCTGTCTAGAGAAGTTCAATAATTATCTGTTGTTGTTTATAACAATAATGATTGTAACCTAAACTGTTGTTTAATTGATGGTATAGAAAAAGGAATTTTTTTTTTTTCTGTCTTTTTGAGACAGGGTCTCCCTGTAGCCCCAGCTGTCCTGGAACTTGCGATATAGGCCAGGCTGGCCTTGATCTCACAAAGATCCATCTGCTTCTACCTCCCAAGTGCTGGAATCAAAGGCATGCGCCACCATGCCCGGCTAGAAAAAGGAATTTTTGATTGGCAAAATAACAGGCAGGGAAAGCTAATCAGTTTCTATTTTTCTTTCTTAATTTATTTATGTTTCTCTGATGTTTAAAACATAACCATTTTACATATCTATGTGATACAGTAAGGTGTTTTGATACATGTGTATATTGTACAGTGTTAAAATCAGGGTATGTGCAACTGTCATCCCAAGTGTGTTTATGATTAAAACATTCAAAATCATTTCTCCTTGCATTTTGAAAGTTGTGGTACTTTGCCATTATCTACAGTCACCCTGCCCATGTAGTATTTTCTTAATGGGTGAACAGCTCTATTCTAGGGAAAAATGAATGTGTTTCTAAAAAGCATTCTCAAACTGGAAATGGTATTTTGGGGCATGGCAGGTCATATACCAACACAGAACTTGTTTATTTGAGAGCTGAATATGGTGGCATACTTCACTGAAGCAGAAATTCTTTGTGGTTTATTACGGCTGCTGGGACAATGGTTTAGTGGGGGGATATAAGCCAGCCAGCTGGTCTGTTGTGACTTCTCACATACCCTAGCCTGCCTATTCCTTCTGCAACTGTCATTTTTCAACCACCCATTTGCTTTGGGTTTACCTTCACATGTATATTTTTGGCATGCAAACTTGCTCCCACTGTTGGTTTTGAGTCTAGCAGAACTATGTTTTGCAAAAGTTTAGTTAACTGCCAAGAAACTCTTGGTACCCAAGTAACTTCAGCAG